CCCCCCCCCCCCCCCCCCAAAAAAAAAAAAACATTTGGTCTCTACTAGTATGGTTATATCAAATTTCTTTTTCTTTTAATTTTTACACTTTACCTACATGAATTGGCTTGGATGGCTTCTCGGATGAAAATTCCATTAGCTTTACCTCATTGCATAACTATCATAATAAAAGGTGCTTGTAAATTTTGATGCTTATCGTTGTTACATGTGAACGTTCTTTCGTTCAGGGACAGTTTGCAATGACCCATCAAGCAGTTTTGGCCACAGTTACAGCTCAGGCACAGATGCAACTTCAAGCAGCACGTCCTTCCTCATCAGAAGCATTGCCCAGTCCTTCACCAGAACCTGCATCCATCAACCCAGCGCCACTACAACAAAGGCCTTCATCAGTATCTGAAGGCAACATCTCTACCCCAGAGCCAATGCAACCTCCTCCATCTGACCATAAATCTGAGGCTCAGTCCACTCAACAACATCTCTACCCCAGAGCCAATGCAACCTCCTCCATCTGACCATAAATCTGAGGCTCAGTCCACTCAAATTGTTGTGAAGACAAGAGCCAATGCAACCTCCTCCATCTGACCATAAATCTGAGGCTCAGTCCACTCAAATTGTTGTGAAGACAAGCTCTAGTGATGGATACAACTGGCGAAAGTATGGTCAAAAGCAGGTTAAAAGTAGTGATAGATCACGAAGCTACTATAAATGTACCAATGTGACCTGTTTTGCTAAGAAGAAGGTCGAGCGTTGCCCAGATGGCCGAGAGACCGAAATAATTTACAGAGGTCAGCACAATCATGACCCACCTCAAAAGACGACTAAGTCCATCAAAGAGAAAGGGGTTCAGTCTGGTGGGTCTTCTGGGGAGCATAAAACCGCAGATCTTCCAAGTAACGAAGTTAAAGGACCGGATCCTTCAACATCAAAGATGGAAAAAAATTCTAGCAATGAAGCCCTTGAACAACACTTGTTCTGCTCTAGTGATTGTGAAGGGGATGCTGCAATTAAGATGGATGAGGAGCATGCTGATGAACCAGATGCAAAAAGAAGGCAAGTGTTGTAATAAATATTGTTGTGTATAGTTTCATATGTTCATGTGTATTGAGTACTTAATGTCTATGATACAGGCTCATCGAGACACAGAGCTATACGCCTTGCTCAGCACCGGTCCTTAGAACGATTAAGGAACCCAAGATTGTTGTGCAGAGTTCATGTGATGCAACACGTATAAGTGATGGCTACAGGTGGCGCAAGTATGGACAGAAATTTGTCAAAGGAAATCCTAATCCCAGGTATATTTCATTCCTATTAAGTTGCATGTTTTTTACACTTATTGTTTCATGAATATCAAAATGGACATTTCATGGTGATCTAGTTGTATTCTGCTCTGTAATTGAAACGAGTGATTTGTAGAGTAGTTTGCAGGAACCTAGTGATATTTTTGTAACCACAAGTGCACTATAATGTTTAGTCCATTGTGAAGTACTTTGGCTTTTCTTTTACTCAAAGATCAAGATGTCGGTGGTGAATGTGGCGTTACAAAGCATGTCCTCTTATTTAGATAAAATAGAAAAGACCATAATACTCTCATTCAGACTAAATTAATTTAACCAAAGAACTAACCCAAACCATTTAGAAGAAAACCATAATCAATGTATTCTTTTTTTTTTCCGGCCACCAAATATTAATCTTCTATAAGTTTCTTTGTAATACGACCACAAGAAAAATGAAAAAGAATAAAAATACAGAAGAAATCGCAAAAGGAAAGCAGTACTAATTTAAGAAAAAAAATTGTTTTTAAGGTACTTTCTTTTATTTGCATGACGGTACTCATGTCATACATGTTATTAGGTATACCATTTTTCATTCATTACTTTCTTTAATTGAAAAATGTTACTTGAGGTTCAGAGTTTAATACGAAAATTTTACATTCTCCGCCTATTCCTTCCATGTTATGGGTTATACTATTACAAGTAGGTTGAACCCAAGCCAGATGTTGCCTGAGTGCATTGTCCATGAACTTTCATCCTGAATGCTGGCCAATATGGGCCAATTAGTTGCTGGATCGGGTGGCTCAAGTGTTTTGCCTAGTTCAGGTGGCCATCTGATTTTGTTAGATTCTGACTTGATGATGGATTTGATACAACTCAGTGTCATCATGGGTTGCTTGATCTTGTACATACCCCCCCCCCCCCCCCCCCCGCNGGGGGGAGCACTCTATCTGGGTTTGGGCGTGTCCAGAAACCAAAGTAGTCAGAGGGAGAAACATTTTTGTTATTTTACCAAAGCTTTGCTGATGGAAACATTTTTCTCGCTAGATGTCTCAGATAAATCTGTTTCTGTTATTTCATCTGTTGTAGTTACAATTCAGTGGTGCTTGATGAAGACGTACCATCAGCATCTAAGAAATTGCCCCCATGATACACCTATGTGGCCTTTACATATTGAATTTATGATGAAGCCTACGGTTGAATAAGAAAGTCTTGTTGACAATCTGGCTGATATTTTCTGCAGTTGCTATTGAAGTTGGAATTTTAGTTCTCCCTTGTTTTGCCTCTCACAGTTATTTGTAAAATAGCTTTATCCCTGCCAGTTGATGGTTATGCGATCTTGTCTATGAAGCACATCTTTTTAATTCATTTACTAGCACTGGAGATGATAAGCATTGTCATTGTAGGGAAGATCACCATTTTCTTCTCCTTGTTTTTCAATTAAAGCATGCATTATACGAGACAGTCTTTTTTTAAGGTTGAATTTTATCTTGTCAGTACTTCAAACTTTTATAGTAGTAGATTGCTCAAAAAAAGAATACTTATGTTGAACAGTTTCTGGGTCTTAGAGTTAAAATGTTCTTTTTTTTTTCTTTGGTATTCTCAGGAGCTACTACAGATGCACTCACAATGGATGCCCCGTTCGAAAACATGTCGAGAGAGCTTCAGATGATGCCAAAGCAGTTCTAATAACATACGAGGGAAAACACAACCATGATCAGCCTGCTCTCAAGAGTGGATGCACCGAACAACCAGCAACAGCTCTTCTCATTGCTGCTGCTGCTTCTGCTACTTATTCAGTAACTAAGGATGAAAAATCACATACTTCTGATTCTTCACCTAATAAAGAATTACCAACCCCAACCAATGGAGAATCAGCTGGTGATAATGCATCATTAGAAGCTGGAGGTGAGAAAGCACTGGAATCTGCACAAACACTTTTAAGCATTGGATTCAACTCGTCCTCAGGAGAAGAAGCCACTGGAACCAATTCTGATGGGGTGAATCCCTCTATTTTTAGTGAAACTTGTGCTGCAGTTCCTGTCCAAAACTCTTAAGGTTTGATTGAATTTAGGGAGTTAGTCTTAATTTTTTTTTCCCCTAGTGTTGTTGTTACTTGTCTGTTATATTTGCTCATGTATAGTGTTTTATATGAGCTCTGTTCCATTCAAATTACAAACGGTTCATCTTTGTATCATCAGAAGTCCAAGAGAGGAATTAAAATCTTATATTGATGAAGCCGCAGAGCCTGCTAGATTAGATGAATGAATCAAGGCTCTGAATAATGGCGAGCTCATATCGAAGAGTGTAATTTACATTACTGTAATAGCTGAGGTGAATCGAAGGGTGATTGGAAGTAAATAATTTTGTTGGAGTTATATATCAGAATGTTATTGCTCTTGGTAGGTAGGATATTATTGCTGTGTTGTATTTGTCCTATTTGGGTTCAGAGCTCTCTTTGGTAATTTCTCCTCACGTTCGTTATGATTTGTTGAGGTTTCCTCCTCTTATCAAGTTAAATGGGGTCCAATTCAGAACTACAATAAAATGACTTGCAAACAAATACTTGATTTGCAACTGGAATGGCATTTTTCAGAAGAAAAATACAAATCCGACAGGTTTTGCAACAAACACGAACAATGAGTGCGCATTTGGAAATACCTTTCCTGCAACAAAGAGCAAATGTCAAAGGTAACAGATTCCGGACTAATTTCCTGCAAGTTGCAGGCTACATTTTCTTCATACGGCAGTTCTCGTCCAACAAAATCGGGTTAATGGATCCGAGTCGCGCTCTTTTTGGATCATCCAATCCTCCAAAAACCCAAACCAAAAATCTTATCCAACCTCCTCCACAGGTTCAAATCCTAAACGTCTACAGTCTACTTCCCTCCACCAGTACAAACTAAAACCAGACGGACACAAAAAAAAAAAAAAAACCCCCCCCACTTCCCTCCACCAGTACAAACTAAAACCAGACGGACACAAAAAAAAAAAAAAATCCCCTCCCAACTCCAAATGTCTTCAACTCACCTCCTCCCAAATCCCCTCCCCTCCTCAATCTTGCGACCCCAATTCTCCCCTCAATCCTCCATCCACTTCCTCTCCTCCCCAAAACTCAAGAAACCCGCCTCCCTCATCCCCACCAATGCCAAGAAGAAGAACCCATGGCTTGACCCCTTTGACGACGGGGCAGACCCCGAGATGGAATACGGGTCCCTCTTCGATGGAGGTAAGCAAGAAGAAGACCCAACACCGCCTGATAACCCGACTAACCCCTACGGCTTCCTGAAATTCCCCTCGGGCTACAACGTCGAGCTCGCGTCTCTCGCGTCAAAAGTTAGAGGAGACGTCCGGAGATGCTGTTGCGTTGTGTCTGGCGGCGTGTATGAGAACTTGCTGTTTTTCCCGGTGGTGCAGCTGATCAGGGACCGGTATCCGGGTGTTCAGGTGGACATTTTGGCGTCGGCGAGGGGGAAACAGTGTTATGAGATTTGTAAGAATGTGAGGTGGGCGACTGTTTATGATCCTGACGATGAGTGGCCTGAGCCTGCGGAGTACACTGATATGGTCGGGGTTCTTAAGGTATGGTTGATGGTGTTGTAGTATAGGAACAAATATTCTGCGGTATATAGTTAACTCAGAGCCTATGTACAAAATGAGTTGACGAAAGGATTAATTACATTCAGCTACCCTGAGGTCTAGTGTAACATGGGTGAACCTAGAGTGTGCGTATCTGCATGGTTAATTCTAAAACTATACTAATTATAATTACACAAGATTAACCTGAGGTATAGTGTAGATACAATCAGTAATCTCAAGATTAACCTTGTAGATTTACGGACCCATGATCACTCGTGTAGTTATACTATATGTGCCTAAATGTGATTAATCCATCAAGATAAACATTACAAACCAAACTATAGCAACATGAGTTCTGATTGTAGCAACACGGATCCTATTCTTCCATTCAGTTTCGGTATAGATTATCTTCTCCGTTGATCTACGGTCAATCCAATCGACATAAGAGATGTTGACAGAGATGGCATTTGTTTTTAATGTAAATTGCGTTGTGAATACGGGCGTTCTTCTCGCATGTTGACAGAATCGATACTACGATATGATCCTGTCGACGAAGCTA